GTCATTTCGGGGGTATTTGTACTGTCCTGGCTTGTTAGTGTTTCAAGAAATGAGCCATCAGTACATCAGGTTTCATCAGGTGTGATCAATTTTCAATGATTGGTACCATAGCTTGTAGACTCTATAACTTGCACACAGACCAAATAATACACACCCCATTGAGATTATTTTTACCAAAGCAATATAGCAGTGTACATTGTGGCCCACATTTATGAAGAAAAATTACTTATTTGCAAAATTTTATAACAGAAACGAACAAAAATGCGTTGGGGTTTTTTTTTTTCCAAACTTTTTGGTCTTTTTTAATTTATAGCGCAAATAATAAAACACCCAGGGCTAATTAAATGCCACCAAAAGAAATATATTTGTGTGAAAAAAGGATAAAAATTTAATTTGGGTACAGTGTTGCATGACTGAATAATTATCATTCAAAGTGTGAGAGCTCTGAGAGCTGGAAATTGGTCTGGGCAGGGAGGGGTTAAAAGTGGTAAAAGGTAGATTTTAGAGGTTCCAAAATAAGTTACTGTATCACCCAATATATGGCTTCCATCCAGTAGCCAAAAAACATGCAGACAAAAAGAGGGTTTGTGAAAAGAAACTCACAGAAAAGCGGCTACATCATGAACAGAATGCGATACTCAGAAAAATTTCCAAAAAATTATGCTTTATTTCACATTAATGATTGACATATGGGCAATCGCCCTGGTTTACCATCACCTCAGTATGAGACAATACACACAGACCTAAAACCATTAAAAATCACACCAAGACTGGTCTAGGTATGTGTGCTACAAAGGCTATGACCACAATAGTCTAAAGCACTTGCAGCACTGGCACATAGGTAACACTTCCTATAGGAGGTATATACAGAAAAAATATTATACCATAGGTATGCAATATCACATGCTATATAAATATAAGCATATATCATTACCATATAGGTTACACCCCATAAAGGGGATTTTCCAAAAATTATACCAAGGGTATATCATATCACATGCATGCAAAACGATGGACACAGTAATCGTCAAAAGAGAGGCATGACCCTGAGCCTATAGAAGGCAATATATGGGTAAAACATAATATATGCAGTACAACCCTATACCGGCACACGTGGTTGGGGCCCATTAATCTGTAATAAACGTGAATTGTTGTAAGGATTCTTATAATTGAAAGAGTCCCTGTTGTTGCCTTGATGGAAAGATAGATGCAAATAGCAGAAGTCTGCTTTAAATGGTTTCTTCACCACAGCATGTGGACTGCAAACCACTTTAGTGTTGGAAACAAGATAAGGCCCAGTAGATCTTCCGCCTGTTGCAATATATATAGTATGCCTTGTTTCTATGAAAAGCACCATAATGTCCCCATCCTGTAATAAGACAAACGATATAAAGATAGTCACTGTAAGAGCTTTCACTCTATAGTAGATGTATATTATCATATAGATCGCAAGGAACCTTTTTCAAATGTCCTGTAACAGTCCACTCACCACCTGTGCAATGGGTAGTAGTAAAAAAAAGAAGAGAAATCCTTCATAGGTACTGCCGTGTTGATCCAGGGAACCACCGCTTACATCAGCCGACATTTCGCGGGTTCCGACCTCTCCATGGCGCCTGTACAGCCTTTGCATGACTCATGACATGTGAAAATGGCTACCTCCTTGTAGGTCGGCGTGCGTATCACCAGTGCGCATGACCGCAAGTGACGTATCTGACATATGACGTCAACGCGTTTCGCCGATGGGCGTATCTCACTCAGCTTCGTCAGGACCAAAAAGTGCCCTGTATTGAGGTGGTTAAACAGTGCAGAAGATTAACCTCTTAGGTTCCACAGTAAGTATAACAAGCATGTAGGTAGTGGGGTTGGTTTTCTCCTGCCACAAGTGAGCACCGTCCAAGTCCTCCCTAACCCTCCCTCTCTATCCTTCTCCTCCTTCGAGACCCACTGCATCCGGCTATTCTCTTCAACCTCTCTGAGGATTGCAGTGATCTACCGGCCTCCTGGACCCGTGTCCCGCTTTCTTGACGACTTTGCCGCCTAGCTACCTTCTTTCTCTCCTCTGAGCTACCCACTATCATTTTTGGCGACTTTAACATCCCGATCATCATCAATAACCCGGCTACATCCCAGCTCTTCACACATAACTTCTTCTTTTGCACTATCTCGGTGCATACAGTCCTTCACTCACTCTGACGGGAACACTCTTGACCTTGTCTTCTCTCACCTTTGCACTCCCTGCAACCTCACAAACACCCCCTTTCCTCTCTCCGATCACAACCTTTATCACCTTCTCCTCGTCCTCAAACAGCTATCCCTCCAAACTCCAAACAATTACAGCAGAAACCTCCGGAACTGGAACCCTGCTCCCTTCCACTCTGCAACTGACCAACTGTACAACACCATCCATCCCCTGTCCTGCCCTGACCTAGCCACTACTGCCTACAACACCTCGCTTACAGCCGCTCTAGAGTTGCTCTCACCCCCAACAACACGAAGCATTAGACCCCGACCGCTACAACCCTGGCAGACTGACCACACCAGAATCCTCAAACGACATAGTCGTGCGCTGGAGCGAATATGGCGTAAAACCAAATCCCAACAAAGCGTTCACCGCTACAAATCTGCCTTCTTAACGTACACTTCCTCCCTTCACGCTGCCAAACAGGCCTACTTTATTACCCTCATCAATACCTTCTCCTCCAATCCTCGCTGGCTCTTCTCCACTTTTAACTCCCTACTTTCTCCGCCTCCACCTCCGCCCAGTACCTCACTTACCGCCCACAAGATTGCCAACCACTTCAAAAACAAGATTGACGCAATTCGTAGGGACTTCGCCACTGCTCAGACACCCATCCCACTTAGCACTCCCCCTCAACACTTTGCTCCCTTGACCTCACTACCACCAAAGAGGTCACTAAGATTTTCTCCGAAGCCCGCCTCACCACCTGCCCCCTGGACCCTGTCCCCTCACAACTCCTGCGGTCCCCCTCCTCTTCCATCCTATGCTCCCTCACTCACATCTTCAATCTTTCCTTCTCCACCCGTACCTTCCCCTCCCCTCTAAAGTATGCGCATATCACCCCCATACTTAAGAAATCCTCCCTGGACCCCCTCTGACCTGAACAACCGAAGACCCATCTCCCTACTGCCATTTACCTCTAAACTCCTAGAATGCTTAGTCTACAATCGCCTAAGCTCCCATCTCACCAACAACAACCTTCTCGATCCTGTACAGTCCGGCTTCCGCCCCCTACACTCCACCAAAACTGCCCTACTCAAACTTACCAATGACCTACTAACCACCAAAACCAATGGCCACTATACTATACTCCTACTACTTGACCTCTCTGCGGCTTTTGACACGGTTTGCCACCCCCTCCTCCTCAAAAAATTGCACTCTCTTGGCCTCCACTCTCTCCTGGTACTCCTCCTATCTATCGCAGTGCTCCTTCAGTGTTACCTATAACACTGCCACCTCCCCTTCCCTCTCTCTGTCAGGGTCCCTCAAGGCTCTGTCCTCGGACCCCTCCTCTTCTCCATCTACACCTCCTCCCTTGGCCAATTGATAAACTCACACGGCTTCAACTACCATCTCTATGCCGAGGACACTCTATGCTTGACTCCCTCTTTGTGAGTGTTGTCTCCCCCCCCCCCCCCCCCCTTTTGCTTTTGCTGTGTCTTATCTCTAGCCTCTTTTTTTTTTTTTCATCTCTTCTAACATTCTGCTAAAACTTTGTGATTTGTATAGTATTGCTTGGGCCTTGAAGAAGGGGACACTCCCCTAAAGCTTGTCCTCAAAATTGTATGTTAGTGCAAATAAAAAAGGTATCACGGACAGTACTCAATTGTTTACTCCACTTCCTCAAACTCAACCTTTCCAAAACTGAGCTTCTAGTATTGCCCCCCCCCCGACTTCTCCATCAAGATCAACAACACTACCATCAGTCCCACCCCTCAGGACAGGGTACTAGGTGTAATTCTAGACTCCAATCTGTCCTTTCAGCCCCAGGTCCAATCACTGAAAAACTCATGTAGACTTCACCTCCGCAACATCTCCAAGATACGACCGTTCCTAACCTTGGAAACCACTAAGCAACTCATCCACTCCCTTATTATATCACGCCTTGACTACTGTAACTCCCTCCTCACTGGCCTACCTCATCGCAGGCTATCCCCACTCCAGTCCATCATGAATGCAGCTGCCAGACTCATTCACCTTACTAATCACTCTGTATCTGCCACCCCTCTCTGGCAATCCCTCCACTGGCTTCCAATTGCCCAGCAGATAAAATTCAAAACACTAACACTGACGTACAAAGCCGTTCATAACACTGTCCCTAAGTACATCACCGACCTTGTCTCTAAATACCACCCAAACCGTACTCTCTGCTCCTCGCAAGACCTCCTACTCTCTAGCTCCCTTGTCTCCTCCTCCCATGCTCGTCTCCAGGATTTCTCACTGGCTTCACCCATCCTCTGGAACTCCCTAACTCCAAGCTATCGCCTACCCTGCTCACTTTTAGGCATACTCTGAAAACTCATCTCTTCAGGGAAGCCTACTCTGACCCCGGCTGACTACTAGAATCCCCTACTCCCCCACAGCTAATTACCTCTTGTACCACTATCCCCTCCCTCCTAGATTGTAAGCTCCAAGGAGCAGGGCCCTCTAATCCCTCTTGTATTGAACTGTATTGTTACTGTACTGTCTCCCTCCATAATGTAAAGTGCTGAGCAAGCTGTCGGCTCTGTATAAGTCCTGTATAATAATAATAATGCTTTACTGCATATACAGACTGATGTTACTGTTGTAGGTTTAGTAACACTGGATAGAAAGGAGGTGTAACATTCTGGAACCGCAGTAGTTAAAGGTGTGTCATGTCCCCTGTCCTTGAGTCTTTACATTTTATTTTCCCCCTACCTAATATTATATAATTTATTTTTCAGTGGCTGACACAATGTTTTAACCTGCAAACTTATCATTTTCATGTTGTTTTTTTCAGATGGGGACATAGTGGGTATAAGGAACTGTACCCTGAAGAATTTGACACAGAAAGGTATATATATATAAAATGTATGACTGGCATAAATACTGTGTGTGTGTTTTTCCTTTGATGTGTGTGTGTTTACACAGATATACATACACATATACAGCAGGTAAAATGAGTATTCAACACGTCACCATTTTTCTCGGTATATAGTTCTAAAGATGCTATTGACATGAAATTTTCACCACACGACGGTAATAACCCATGCAATCCATACATACAAAGAAACCCAAACAAATAAGTTCAGAAATTAAGTTACGTGTAATAAAATGGAATGACACAGGCAAAGAGTATTAAAAACGGTAGCTGAAATGTATTTAATACTTGGTACAAAGTACTTTGTTGGTAATCAGAGCTTCAAGATGCCTCCTGTATGGAAAAACTAGTCGCATGCATTGCTCAGGTGTGATTTTTGGCCCATTCTTCCACACAGTCTTCAAATCGTGAAGGTTCCGTGGGCCTCTTCTATAAACGCTGATCTTTAGTTCTTTACATAGATTATCTGTTGGATTCAAGTCAGGTGGTTGGCTAAGCCATTCTTGCAGCTTTGTTTTCTTTCTTTGAAACCAATTGAGAGTTTCCTTGGCTTTGTGATTGGGATCATTGTCTTGCTGAAATGTCCACCCTCGTTTCATCTTCATCATCTGGGTATATGGCAGCAGAATTTTATCAAGAATGTCTTGGTGCATTTTTCCATTCATCCATCCTTCAAGGACCTGAAGTGTGCCAGTACTGTATGCTGAAAAACAGGCCCACACCATGAAGTTCTCACCTCCAGTGATGTCAGTGGCATTTGACCTCCAAACATGGTGTGTACTATGGCATTCAAAGAATTAAATTTTGGTCTCATCTGAACAGACTATATTCTCCCAGTATTTCACAGGATTGTGTAAATGTTGTGCAGCAAACCTTAAACGAGCTTCTACATGCTTTTTCTTCAGCAGTGGAGTCTTGCATGGTGAGCATGCATGCAGGCCATGGCAGTTGAGTGCATTACTTATTGTTTTCTTTGAAACAGTTGCACCTGCTAATTCCAGGTCTTTCTGAAGCTCTCCACAAGTGGTCATAGGCTCTTGGACAACTTTTATGAAAATTCTTTTCACTCAAATCTTGTGAGGAGCACCTAGTCGTGGCTGGTTTATGGTGAAATGCTGTTCTTTCCACTACCGGATTATGGCCTCAACAGTGCTCACTGGACCATTCAGAAATTTAGAAATCCTTCTGTAACTAATGCCATCAGTATGTTTTGCAACAATAAGGTTGCGAATATCTTGAGAGAGCTTTTCCCTTGTGTGAGAGTTTTCTTGTGTAACACCTTGTGTCACGGATCCCACCCACACGCCCACAGCGACTAGCTAACCGAGGCGTGCACGTGTGGCCGTGACTTGGGGTAAGAGGGAATGAAGGGGACTTAATCTGAATATATATATATATAAGACCAGCCGTGATATACTTTCACAGCACGCAGGTACTATCCTCTGGCACACCACTAGCCTAGGGAGACTCCAATCCCAGCTGGCTGACCACACACACAGGCAGGTAATTGCATACAGATCTCTGTCTAGGCAATGAACTTGACCGAGCATATAAAGACACTGCAATACAATACAATACAATCTCTCCGGAGATATATGAGCCCGAGCTTAAGTACCCAGAAGTCACTTATTAATTTTATGATTTAATATCCCACATGTGGACAGTGCATAAAATATGTACAAAGTATAAAGCGTTACAAAAAATACAGAAAATACAAAAAGACACACAATTGGCTCTTGATTATAAAATAAAAGGGAATAAAAACAGAAATAAAACCTTTACCAAGAGTTATCCTGCGACTGGAGCAAGTCAGAGAAAGTCCGCGATCTGCCAGTCAATAGAACCGGCTCCGTACGAATCACACCGTCCATATCTCAGGGTCCTCAATTTATTGAAATATGGACGTAGGCTGAACATTAGCCCTTGGCCAATCAACTCTGAGCGGTGTTCCTGTACCAGCCCCCAGGACGTTCTGGGTACTGAAATGCCCAAAGTCGATTGGACCAGGAACAGTTTGAATCACCAAGTCAGGGATTGAATTTCCGACAACAGCGCATCAGTCCGATTGCGACAGTACCAATTACTGTTCAGCTGTCGCAGTCAGGCGCCATATAACCGGTTTTTGCGTTTCTCTGGGATTCTACATAGGCTACAAATACAGTTTTACATGCAGATGTAGCCTACAGTGTGTCCAATCAGAAGGAAGTATTTTCCTCTCTCTGCAACTAATATTTTGGCTTTTATGAGATGAAATATATTTCTTTGATCTACTGATATACGTCAGAGCTTCTAGACAGATCGGACCCCTCTCTTGGTCTCCAGCTGCCTCTGAAGCCGAAATGTCTAGAGATCCTCTTTTAAACTTCAAGAAGGTGACAAAGTCTGACTATGTAGGTGATAAGTCTTATTGGCATCTAGGTGTCACCTCCAGCCTAGAGGATGCTCTGTCCTTTCAGATGATAATTGGTGACCATATGTCTCTGACTGAATCCTGAACCCATCTTATTATTAACATGGAATGAAGCTAAATCTACAATGTCATATTTCTACAGATCACATTTCAGCTACTCAAATCTTACATTTATGTCACACCTTGGTAATGAGACATCTTTTTAAAGGCCATCAGTTGCGACTGAAACAGCTGATAATAATATGCACCGACAAGAGTCAGGATTGCTTTCTAATTACTGATAGATATCACCTGGTGTCTTAGCTTTCCATGCCTTTTTGCACCTCCCTTTCTTCGTGTGTTCAATTTTACAAAAAAAAATGGTGAAGTGTTCAATACTTATTTTACCCGCTGTATAATATTATCTTTATTTTTTTTTTACACTGATCGTCCAAAAAATTATGATCAAACACCTAATATTGAGTAGGTCCCTAATTTTGCCGCCAGAACAGCACTTACCCATCAAGGCATGAACACCAGAGGAACTTCCACATAAATGTCAGGATCAATGGTTTCCCAGCAGAACATTGCCCAAAACATCCCACTGCCTCCACCAGCTTGCCTTCTTCCCTTACTGCATCCTGGTGCCATCTCTTCCTCAGGTGAGTGTTGCACACACTCTCCAGGCCATCCACATGATGTAAAAGAAAATGTGACTCCTCAGATCAGGCAACCTTCTTTCATTGCTCCATGGTCCAGTTCTGAGGCTTACATGCCTCAGATTTTGGCTGAGGACACAGGTCAGTATGGGCACCCTGATCGGTCTGCAGCTACTCCGGCCCCATGTGCAAAAAACTGTGACGCATTGTGTGTTCTGACACCTATCTTTGGGAACCAGCATTAACGTTTTCAGCAGCAAGCAAGCTACGTTTCCAGTAGCTCTTCTATTATTATTATACAGGATTTATATAGTGCCAACAGTTTGCTCAGCGCTTTACAATATAACAGGAGACAATACAGCAACAATACAGTTCAATACAAAAGAATTAGGAGGGCCCTGCTCTTTGGAGTTTACAATCTAAGAGGGAGGGGCTAGTGATACAAAACGTAGTAACTGTGGGGGACGGACTGGTAGGAGGAGTAAAAGATTCCATTATTAGCTGAGGGCAGGATAGGCTTCCTTGAAGAGAGAGGTTTTCAGAGATTGCCTAAAAGTGAGCAGAGTAGGCGATAGTCTGATAAATTGGGGTAGAGAGTTCCAGAGGATGGGGGAAGCTCTGGAGAAGTCCTAGATATGAGCATGGGAGGAGGAGACAAAGGAGCTAGAGAGCAGGAGGTCGTGCAAGGAGCGGAGAGTACGGTTTGGGTGATATTTGGAGACAAGATTGGTGATGTAATTTGGGGCAGAGTTATAAATGGCTTTATATGTTATTGTTAATGTTTTGAATTTTATCTGTTGGGCAATGGGAAGCCAGTGAAGGGATTGGCAGAGAGGGGTGGCAGATACAGAACGGTTCGTAAGGTGGATGAGTCTGGTAGCAGCATTCATGATAGACTGAAGAGGGGATAGCCTGCGATGAGGTAGGCCAATGAGGAGGGAGTTGCAATAGTCAAGGCGAGCGATAACAAGGGAGTGAATAAGTTGCTTAGTAGTTTCCGAGGTTTAGAACGGGCGTATCTTGGAGATGTTGTGGAGGTAAAGTCTACAAGATTTGGACAGCAATTGGATTTGGGACTGAAAGGACAGATGGGAGTCTAGGATTACACCTAGCACCCTGGCATGAGGGGAGGGACTGATGATTGTGTTATTGATCTTGATGGAGAAGTGGGGGGAGGGGGTACGGGCTGGAGGGAATACTAAGAGCTCCGTTTTGGAAGGATTAAGTTTGAGGAAGTGGAGTGACATCCATGCTGATATGTCACTTGTAGGTTCGTAATGCGAGAGGAGACTGAAGGGGTGAGGTGAGGAGTAGATTTGTGTGTCATCAGCATAGAGATGGTACTTAAAAGCCATGGGAGTTTATCAAGTGACCAAGGGAGGAGGTGTAGATGGAGAAGAGTAGGGGTCCAAGGACAGAACCTTGAGGGACCCCTACAGAAAGAGGGAGTGGAGAGGAGGAGCCAGAGTTATAGGTAACGCTGAAGGAGTGCAGCGATAGGTAGGAGGAAAACCAGGAGAGAGCAGAGTCTCGCAGGCCAAGAGAGTGGAGTTTTTTGAGGTGGAGGGATGGTCAACTGTATCAAAAGCCGCGGAGAGGTCAAGTAGTAAGAGTACAGAGTAGTGGCCAATGGTTTTAGCAGTTAATAGATCATTAGTGAGTTTTAGTAGGACGGATTCAGTGGAGTATAGTGAGCGAAAGCCAGATTGTAAAGGGTCAAGAAGGTTGTTGTCAGTGAGGTAGGAGCTCAGGCGATTGTAGACTAAGCGTTCTAAGAGTTTAGAGGTAAACAGGAGCAGGGAGATGGGTCTTAGGTTGTTCAGGTTGGTGGATCAGACTACACAGGCCTGCCTTCATGTTCATTGTGCATAATTAAGCCTTGGCCGCCCATGAACCTGTCGCTGTTTTTTCTTCCTTGGACCACTTTTGGTAGGCTCTGACCACTGCAGACCAGGAACATCCCACGGGAGCTGCAGTTTTCGAGATGCTCTGACCCAGTCGTCAAGCCATTACAATATGGCTCATGTCAAAGTCACACAAATTCTTACACTTGACCCTTTTTCTGCTTTTAACACATCAACTTTAGGGACAATCTGTTCATTTGCTGCCTGATATATCCCACCCACGTTCAGATGCCTTTGTAAAGAGATAATCCACGTTATTCACTTTACCTGTCATTGGTCATAATGATATTGTAAAACGGTGTTCTGTATATTTTATTACCCAATAACTAGCCAGCAGGTGGAGCTCTAGGCACATTTTCACATTTACTTACCGTATTTTTCGCTCCATAAGATGCACCTGACCATAAGACACACCTAGGTTTTAGAGGAGGTAAACAAGAAAAAAAATATTCTGAACCAATAGACTGCAGACATAGTGCAGGAAATGACCAGAGACTGCAGATGTACTACAGGAGATGACCAGAGACTGCGGGCATACTACAGGAGATGACCAGAGACTGCAGACATAGTACCGGAGATGACCAGAGACTGCGGACATAGTACTGGAGATGACCAGAGACTGCAGATGTAGTACAGGAGATGACCAGAGACTGCAGACATAGTACAGGAGATGACCAGAGACTGCGGATGTACTACAGGAGATGACCAGAGACTGCGGATGTACTACAGGAGATGACCAGAGACTGCGGATGTACTACAGGAGATGACCAGAGACTGCGGATGTACTACAGGAGATGACCAGAGACTGCGGACTTGGTACAGGAGATGACCAGAGACTGCGGACTTGGTACAGAGATGACCAGAGACTGCGGACTTGGTACAGGAGATGACCAGAGACTGCGGACTTGGTACAGGAGATGACCAGAGACTGCAGATGTAGTACAGGAGATGACCAGAGACTGCGGACATAGTACAGGAGATGACCAGAGACTGCGGATGTACTACAGGAGATACAGAGACTGCGGATGTACTACAGGAGATGCAGAGATTGCGGATGTACTACAGGAGATGACCAGAGACTGCGGATGTACTACAGGAGATGACCAGAGACTGCGGACTTGGTACAGGAGATGACCAGAGACTGCGGACTTGGTACAGGAGATGACCAGAGACTGCGGACTTGGTACAGGAGATGACCAGAGACTGCGGACTTGGTACAGGAGATGACCAGAGACTGCGGACTTGGTACAGGAGATGACCAGAGACTGCGGACTTGGTACAGGAGATGACCAGAGAAGAGCCGAGCGGCCAGCCCAGTATTCTAACACGGCGGTGGTGACGGGGGGAATACCGGGCCGGCCGCTCCCATATTCACTCCATAAGACGCACAGACATTTACCCCCATTTTTTGGGGGAAAAAAAACTGCGTCTTATGGAGCGAAAAATACGGTATGTATTATTTTCTGTCTGTAAAATACATTTATGAAGCTTAACCACTTGCTCTCCTGAGGATTTACCCCCCTTCCTGACCAGGTCATTTTTTGTGTTGCGGCACAACTGACAATTGTGTGACGCAGCGCTGCACCCAAATAAAATTTACTTCCTTTTTTTTTTCCCACGAATTGAGCTTTTTTTTTGGTGGTATTTGATCGCCTGTGCTGTTTTTATTTTTTGCGCAATAAACAATAAAAAGACTGACAATTTTGAAAAAAAAACCCCAATATTTTTGACTTTTTGCTATTAAACATGTCCAGTAAAAAAATTTAAAAAATCAAATTTCGTCATAAATTTAGGCCAAAATTTATTCTGCTACATAACTTTGCTAAAATAACAAATCCCAATACGTGTAAGTTATAGCATTTACAAATGGCGGTATATATACTGGGATTTTTAAAAAAAAACAAAAACATTTTTTACTAGTTATGGTGGCAATCAGTGACTTATAGCGGGACTGCGGCGGGCGTTCTGACACTGGGGGGAACTGACTTTGTGTCACTGACATCCCCAGTGACACCAATACAGTGATCAATGCTAAAAAAAAAAACACTGTCACTATACAAATGGCACTGGGGAGGAAGGGGTTAACATGAGGGGCGAGCAAAGGATTAACTGTGCTGAGTGTGTTTTGCTAATCCAAAGCAGTGTTCCCGAGCTGACAAGGAGGAGAACTGTTAGCAAACAAAACCGTTTCCCTCCCTGTCGGAGATCCTCGGTAATCACTGGCCGGGACCCATTGATTGACACCCGCAAATGGTGGTGTGCAAGCCCCTACCCGGAAATGCAAAATTGTGTGTGTGTGTGTGTGTGTGTGTGTGTGTATATGTATATATATATTTATATGTATATGTGTGATTTTGCACACACGTGCCGGCCTGTAGCAGTATTTCTGCTATATGGCGGTCGGGAAGTGTTTAAAGTAACATTAAACCATATCCTTATTTAAAAACAAGAATCCATACACATCCACTACTTAGTGGCCACGTAATCTATTTCTCATTAAATTGCTTCTTACTGTGTTTGTTTTTATGCGTCCTCACAACATCCTCTGTGAGCTCCCAAACCCCTCCTTGTTGCTTGAAAGGGGCAGTGCAAGTTAGCTGTGGTCATGTGCAGTGCTCTAAACACACTACAAATCCCATCTTCCTTAGTCCCTAGTCCGATTTGGCAGTAAGAAAGAGAGGGTGGCTACACTTGCAGTGGGACCATGGAGAACAAACGTAGCCACCTTCTAAGAGGATGTTGGATCACATTTTTAAACCAGAGTATTGTGTCACTTTATTCATTTTAAAATCCATTTTACACATACAACTTAATGGGGGAATGAGAAAAATGAATACAAAGTTTCAGGTAAGTTCTGTCTCACCTGGTGTCATTGCCTGTGACATTCAGTCAGTTTCTAGATTTCATTTTTTCACACTGCTCAGAAAATGGACATTTTAAAAGCTGATGGCTGCTCTTGGTAACTGCTCCAGTTGAGAAAAAGTTTTGTCTTGTACACGTTTTTGTTAATACCCTGTAATGTTAGAGCAGTAATTCCTCCCCCTCCTTTTGGCTTATAAAAAGACTAAGTTTGAAGGCAGTTTCTGATGTGTTATTTCATGTAAAGGAAAAAAAAAAACATAACTGCCTTTACCCGAAGATATGGAGGAAAGTATTGAGGCCATTAATTTTGTAGGGGAGGCAGCTGAGGATTTTATCTCCCACTGAAGGTTATGGGATACAAGCTATGGATTCATGCCAATTGCTTTCCACTGAATACACTAATTTTATGCTTTTTTTGGGTACAAAGAGACTGACTAAGTCTAAAAAGACTTTTCCCATACAATAACAGACTGACTGCGTACGTTATACTGACTGACTATGCCCTGAAAAGGTTTATACTCCTAAGCTTTTTACCAATATTCTATGGAAAAGAATTTTAAAAAGGAATCTCTGTATTCCAGTAGTGGATCCTGCCATATTTGTTCTCGGTAAACACCAATAGTTCCTATTGAGGATGTTCCCTCTTTCCAGAATTCATGGGCATTTTGAAGCCCCTTAAAGGCCTTGCTTTCTCTTGCAGGTCCTGCCCTGCAGCTGGCAGCTACTGCCATGTCACATGTTTGCCATACTATCACCACCTGGTCGAGACACATAAACAGAGACCTGGAACCTGTCTTTGAAGACCCTGCTCACCTAACAAATGCAGCTGATGCCTTCAGTACTGTTGTTTTGTACTGATGTTCTGGAGAATTTAATTTGACAAGTCTCTAGAATAAAGCGTGGCCTGCTAAACAGGTTTGAATTAAAATGTCCTCTACGCATTTTGATGGTGAATGCCTCTTTGGTGAATCCCTTGACAAATTCATCAAGGACGTTACTGGAAAAAGATACTCCTACCCAACAAGAAAATGTCTCCCACTTCTACAACTTCTACCTCTTCTCAAAGAAAGAAATACTTTCATTCCTCCCAGATGTCAACTTTAAAACCAAGGCTTACCACACACTTTCGTTATGAGAACTGGCCCACCAAGCCTTTCCAAAATCCCTTCTCTTAATGATGGGGTGCTCCCAGTCCCCAAAGTAGGGGGATATCTGTTGGCATTTGCACCAGTCTGAATCCGAGACTTCTTAGACCTCTATGTCCAGTTTGTCATTTCAAAAAGTGGTACAAAATAGAGTTTGCCCCCTCCTCACTTTTTTCCTTCCAGTCTGCCAGCTGTAGGCCAAATAAAGTGAGATCTGATGACCACTTTGCACCAATTTTGGACACATGGAGTAGTTGTTCCAGTTCTTTCAGAAGAACAGCTTCAAGGTTTCTGTTCAATCTTACAGTTCCAAAACCAAATGAGGACATCAGCCCAATCCTGGACTTAAATTCTCTAAACAGATCTCTTCATGTTCCAAAACTAAAATCTACTAGATTGTCATTGCTTCCCTTAAACAAGGAGACATTTCTTGCATCAGTAGACATATAAGATGCCTATATCCATTTTCCCATCGCACCCTCGCTTCTTGTATTTTGTTGTACAGGACTCCCCAGCAAAGACCCGGTCTGCCAACGTCCAAAGGACAGTCCAGTTCCTTTTAAACTTTCAGCTGGATAATCAACTTCCCAAAATGTGCCCTCCTGCTGTCACACTGTCTGAAGTACCTGGGTCTAATCTTGGGCACAGCTCATACCAAGGACTTCATCCCTCAGGTCAAAGTGACACCCCTTAATTCAGTTCTTCATGAGAGTTCTGGACATCATGGTGGCCTACTTCAAGGTAATTCCCTTTTGTCAAGTTTCACTCCTGACCCCTTCAATCCACCATCCACAGAATGTTGAATAAAGAAATCCTAACCTGCCCTGGAATTAGGAAACTATTTCCTTCTTAATATTTGGAGCATACTAATGACAGATACAAGTCTTACAGTTTGCAGCAGAATTTACAACTCCCTCACTGTTCAGGGAGCATGGTCACAACAGGAGTCACAACTACCCATCAACTGTCTGGAACTGAAAGCCATCAGATTGTCTCTACAACATTGGAACTTCCTTCTAAGAGGTAACACATTTGGGGTACAATCAGACAGTGCCACAACAGTGGCCTGTATGAATCATCAAGGGGGCACAAGAAGTCTAGCAGCCCTGAAAAAATTAGGCTAAAATCCTCATGGGCAGAAAATTACATTCCAACTATTTTGCATGCCCACATTCTAGGGTTGGACATTTGTCAAGCGAACTTCCTAATCCATCAATGTCTAGACTTGGGGAGTGGTCTCTGCACCCAGAGGTTTTTCAAAATCTCTGTCAAAGGTGAGGATAACCAGATGTGGACGTTCTGGTCTCCAGGTTCAACAACAAGCTAAACAAATTTGTAACCAGGACATAGGATCCTATAACTTTTGCGTTAGATGCTCTGGTGATTCCTTGGACTCCATTCCAATTGGTATATTTCCTACCCGCTAATGAAGATCCTCCTTATACTGCTGTGCAAGATAGAGAGAGGTTCCAGGAAGAACATGTTACACTAAGATTTCAGGTGGATGAGCCTTGGCCTCTTCCAAACAGACCAGACCTACTAGTCCAGGTCCCCCTGTTTCTCAGTCACTGGCTTTAATGGCATGGCTATTGAAACCAAATCATAAAGGATATCTCTAATTCTCACCTTGCTCAGAGCAAGAAAATCTAACTCCTGCAAGATTTACCTTCATACACGTAGGACCTTCTTTGCATGGCTCAAGGACAGAAGGCTAGACCTCAGGGTATACTCTACTACACATATTTCTTAAGTCTGGTCTTGACCAGCATCTGGCCCTTTGTACCCTTAAGGTACTGGATTCTGCCTTATCCATCCTCTTAGAGAAACCTCCTGCATTGCAGTTCCTTGTCAGGGCTTTTCTACAGGGAGTTGCTCATATAATTCCCCTACTTCAACAACTTATATCAGCTGGGAATCTCAACATGTTGCTGTCTGCTTTTCAGAGACCTCCCTTTGAGCCAATTGGAAAGATTCCTTTGGAAGACCTCACGCTTCTTGGCCATCGTTATATTGGTTAAGCATATTTCTGAGTTAGCATCTTTTCCTTTTTGCCTGAGGTAGTCCTTCTTTTCTTTCCACCTCAATGAGGACAATGTCCTTCCTTCCCCCCGTCCTGCCAC